TCTGAGGTGAGGAGGCCGGGGTGTGGAACAGCATAACCATTGTTCTCTAATTAGAGCCTGCGTCTCCTGGGGAGATGAAATGGCCTCTTAATATGGGGCCTTGGCCCGTGCCAAGCCATAGCATTCAAGCGCCTCCTCCCTCAGGGGCAGCCCACCTGCCCACGCGCAGGGAAAGCAGCTTCTCCATGTGAGTGGGGGAGGGAGTGCATGTGACCAGGGGTCTTCCCTTGGGGTATAAAGGGCTCTGTCTGCAGCCTCACCAGGCCACGCACCACACAGCTCCTCCGGTGACCTGGCGTGGGACCTTCACGGGTAGGCACTTACTTGTCCTGAGGGAGGAGCCCAGGGAGGAATGGGAGGGCTGGAGGGGAGGGGTGGGAGGAAGACCTGGAAGGAAAAGTAGATGAAGAGAAAGAAGAAGAAAAAGGAGGACAGGGAGAGAGGAAATAATGGGAGGAGGGAGAGGATGGAGGGAGGAAGAGGAGGTAGTTGAGGATGAGGATGCTCTCGATGCTGTCTGAGTTCTGGATGTCTGTCTGCCTGGATGGACCTAGAAACCCAGACAGAGGTGCTCTGAGCTCTTGTTCGAGGAGACACAATGCCATTCAGAGAGCACCCGCTGCTTCTCCCGGGGGGAGCAGAACCCAGGCCACATTGGCAAGGTTCCTACGAAGCTGTATGGGCCAACAACCATTCCCAGGGCAGCCGATGTGTCGAGGATGCTGCTGTTGATGGGTTCTCATTAGCTTTCCAGGGCACACAGCTCACAGCTCTGCCTCACAGGACCTGCTAGTCCATTGAGGCCTTACTAGGTCCTGATTGGAGGGGAAACCCCAGTACTATATGTATATTCAGGATTTAAAAAATCCAGACAGCCTCAGGGAAGCAGTAAGCCACAGAGCCCAACTTTCCCCAGCTGACCACTTCTGCCCAGACACTGAGACCTAGTGTACACACGCTCTCTCTCTCTTTCTCTTTCTCCTCTCTCTCTCTCTCTTTCTCTCTGCTGCTGCCTAGAAAGAATTTTTGATCTTCCCTATCAGAAAATAATTCTTTCTTCCCTATCCCCTCTCTACAAAACTTACTAAAAAGAAAATAAAACAATCTAGCCAGTGACTCACGCCTGTCATCCTAGCTACTCAGGAGGCTGAGATCTGAGGATCATGGTTCAAAGCCAGCCTGGGCAGGAAAGTCCTTGAGACTCTTATCTCCAATAAACCACCAGAAAACCAGAAGTGGCGCTGTGGCTCAAGCAGTAGAGCACTCGCCTTGAGCTGAAGAGCTGAAGAGCACAGGGACAGCACCCAAGTCCAGAGTTCAAGCCCCATGACTGACAAAAAACAAAAAGGAAAGTAAAACAATCTATAACAGAGTCCACGTTGCCTATGTAGTCAGATGACTGTTGGATCATTTTTATTCCAATAAATACATCTAAGAAGGATCTGGAGTGTTGCTGTCTCTGTCAGAGAGCATTGACATGCAGTGGGCTGAACTATGGTACCAAAAATAGAGGCAGGACACAAGTTTCCAAACTTGTCTCTGCAGGGTTACTTCAATCTGGAGGAAGGAACGCTCCCTCCATGGGGTCAAGACTACCCCATTCCCTGTCGTGGTGGTTCACCCCAATTCTGAGTAGTGCTTGGTATTGAAAAAGGCATCCAAAGAGTTAAGAACACTGTAGGACAGAGATCGCTATCCTATCAACCCTTCTCTAGTCCTAACCTAGCCGCTAGTGTCTTCACAGTGACTGATGAATGGATGGATGAATGAATGAGCAAGGGTAGAGTGAAAGTTCTTTGAGTTCCTTGCTCAGCTCTGCAGTTCTGTAGTAATGCAGTCGTGGGCTGGTTGTCTTTGGGGATAAAGCTCTGCGTGTGACCTTCTTGAGTCACACAAATCCCACCAGCAGTTAACTCTCTGATGTTAAGTTCTAGATGATTCCTCTTCAGGCTGAAGGTGAGTCTCCAGAGACCTGGCCCTGGGAACTCCAGGCCACACTGGAGAGTTCTGGGATGGCTCTGAGGTCACATCCAAATGACCGAGGCTGACCTGACCTTGGGAATTCAGTCAGCACTGGCCACTCCCTTGTCCAACTCTACTGTTATCAATGCCAGAACAGGAGGTCTTGGGAGGGGCTGTGAGCATCCCCAGATGGGCGTGTTACCTGTGGAATCACAGCTGTGCATTGCTAGGGTAGCATGTTCCGAGATCGCTCAGACTTTGTCCTAAACAGCGTGATCTAGAGAACTTTCACAAGTCAATGAACCATATTTCACCTTTATAGTTATCATCCCAGAGAGTAGAACTTATTTAAATACTTCTGCTCTTTTGTTTCGATCCTTCCCTGTTAAATAGATGGCTGGTAGGCTTTAGAATGCTTATGGAAGTGAACTATTTGGTGGCCTGCGCACGGGGAAGCTTCAGGTGAAATGCTGCCAGGTCCCTGGGCTCTGCCCTCATCCATCCTCTCCTTGTCCCCAGAGCCGGTTTTGAGGTTCATCTATTCCAGCATCGCCAGGAAAGGAGAGGGAAACCCATCCCCAGAAAAATGGTTTGTTGTCAGGCAGCGCCACCACGTGGTTGTTGACTTTATTGCTAGGGGGAGTGCTGTTAATGGGAAGGTTCAAAGCCAGCCCATGGCGTAGAGTTGTATTCTCCTCACTCTGTATTCTGAATTCCTGCCACCTTGCTGTGGTGAACCCACTAAGAAGTAACCACGAAATAAAGGAATGCATAAGTGAGATCGCAGCTGTGGCCTCAAGAAGTGCAGGGTTAAGATTGTATTTCACTAATGGCTAGCCCGTGTCTCAAAGCAGGAACGTGTTCTTCGTTTGGAGGCCAAGCTGGGACATAAAGTTTCCCAGAGTGCCTTCCTCTTGCCACACACCTGGTGGCACAAAGGAGGTGTGGAGCCCCTGCTGGCTCTTCCCTGGGATTCCTGGGGGCACCCTGGTCACACCGCTGGCTTCTCTCCCAGGAGGCTGCTGCAGTTGGTGCCTGCTCTCCGCTCTCTGGCTATGATTGTGCTCCTCCTTGTGCCCATGCTGCTGGTCGGCTATGCCGGTGAGTAACTTCGGTGACAGCATCTAATTCCAGAACAAATCACTGCACTTGAATCCTGAGAGGGAGGGTCAAATTTCATCAGATTCGCTGATTGGTTCTGCATCATTCCTCTGCCTAATGAGAGATGGAAATCTAACTTTTTGATAAGTTATAGGGTTAATCCAGCTCTTCATTGTTGAGTAAAGGAAGGGGGAAATGGGAGCAGAGTGGGAGAGGGATGGTCACAAACCTCCCTTCTCCTGACGATGTACTTTTCCCACTTTCACTACTGATTGGCTGATCTCTTTGGAGCACATTGGTCTTCCCATCACACACTGCACCTTTTCTTCTTGGAATGTGTGTGCAATGTCAAGGGCAAACACCTTCATTCTCCTGCCAAAGTGAGTCCCACACCCCCAAACCCCAGGCACCCAAGCTCCCTGGCAGCTCAGGTGATAGTGTTAACTGCCTTTGAAGCTTGGCTGAGAACTTGAGGCTCTGTCTTCTTTTCTGTCCCTCCCTTCCTCCCTCTTTCTCCCTTCCTTCCTCCTTCCTTCCTCCTTCCTTACTCCCTCCCTCCTTCCTCCCTCCTTCCTTACTCACTCCCTCCTTCCCTCCCTCCCTCCTTTCTTCCTTCTTTCCCTCCTTCCCACCTTCCCTTCCTCCCTCCCTCCCTCCTTCCTTCCTTCCTTCCTTCTTCACTTCCTCCATTCTTCCCTCCCTCCCTCTTTCCTTCCTTCCTCACTCCCTCCCTTCTTCCCTCCCTCCCTTCGTCCTCCTTCCCACCTTCCCACCTTCCTACCTTCCCCTCCTTCCTTCCTTCCTTCCCTTCTTCCCACTTTCCCTCCTTCCTTCCCTCCCTCCTTCCCTCCTTCCTTCCCTCCTTCCTTCCCTCCTTCCCACCTTCCCTCGTTCCCTCCCTCCTTCCCTCCTTCCCACCTTTCTTCCCACCTTCCTTCCTTCCTCCCCTTCTTCCCTCCTTCCCACCTTCCCATCTTCCTCCCTTCCTTCCTTCCTTCCTTCCTTCCTTCCTTCCTTCCTTCCTTCCTTCCTTCCTTCCTTCCTTCCTTCCTTCCTTCCTTCCTTCCTTTCCTCCTTTCCCCCTCCTTCTTTCTTTTTTTTTGGGGGGGGGTAAGATAATGAGTACATTTCTTATCAAGCATTGTAGCCTCCTCCTTTGTTTCCCCTTCCCATCCCTTCCCATTCTCCCCCCGTCCCCCGGCCACCCCCCCCCAGCCTCCTTCTTCTTTCTGATTGAAACATTTTTGTCATGATCTGGGCCCCAGTACCAGACCATCTCAGCCCTTACCAAGACTTCATTCCACCTGATCAAATTCCATTTGTAATTCTGGACACAAATATGAAAAGCTGAATTTTAGATTTCTTCAGCTTCCCATTTTATGGTCAGACTGGGGCTGCCATTTTCTGCAGGCTTCAGGAGCTACACCAGGGGTGATTCTGTTCCCATGAGTGGACCATGATGTGATTGGTTTTATCAACATTTAAACCATCATGCCCACCCCCTTCACATCATCTTTTTCAATCTGTAAAACCAGGACAGCAGGCACAAACCCCAGGCCTTGGGCATAGCACAAGCAAGGGCAGGTGGCAAATGCTTGGTGTCTAGAAGGCCCAAAGAAGCCACTTAGCACAGCCAGGTGTCAAGTTCAAGGTCCGGTAGAGTGGGGCAGAGACTGCTAGAACCAATGGGAAAAGCCTGATGTGTTACTCAGAGGACTGAGGCTGTTTTGTTGTCTGTAAACAGTAAGGACCGTGCCTTGCAGCCTGGGGAAGCAATTCGGATAGGCAATGGGGTCAAAATGTGGCAGTGGCCCCAGCACAGCACAACCCTACCACCCCCTTGTGTGGAGTAGCAAGCCTATGGAGCCAAGTCAATTGAATTCTGCTGACTTTCATTGCTGCTTCAGACCACGATGGCACAAAGAGGATTCCAATAGACATATAGGCATGGCCAAGAGAGATAAAGGAATGCTCTAGAACTTTCTTCATCCTCTTTTTAATGGGTCTGAGAGTACATGCTAGCTTGGAGTAGTTTGGTTCACGGAGCAAAGGTCACATCCCAAGGAAGACAACAGAACATCAGGTTGTAGTAGAAATTAGGTGCAGCGAAGAACAAGCGCTTGTCTTGGCTTTAGGCAGGATCACTGCGTAATGTCAAACACTCAAAATCCGGTATCTTTGTTCCAACACAGGCCAGAGCAAACAAGCCAACCATTTTCCGCTAGCATGGGCTTTCTCCACACCCACTATCCAGTCTACTTCCCGAACCCATTCATAGCTCCCACGAACCTCTAGGTCCCCATATTCTGTCCTTCCATTGACTAATCTATCTGAGACCTCCCTCTCCATCTCTACCCCTGGCCAGACTGTGTGCAGGCTCTAAATCAGTCCTCTGAGATAGGCCATTTAACATTCCAGCTGGCTTTTGTGTCACTGAGGCAGGTGTGTGGTCAGGATGAAGGCAGGCAGAGCACAGAGGTGCTCTAGGGTGTATCATCGTGCAGAGGCTGGGCTCCCCAGCCTTAGCTGGATGGTGGACACTTTAGCAAAATAAAAAAAAATAGAAAAGCCTGGGCATAAAACTGGGCAGTGGTAGAGTACGTGGCTAGCAGGTGTAAGTCTTGGGATTCCATCCTCAGCATGAGAGAGAATAGGAGGAGAGCATCCACACAGCTGTCCAGGAGCTATGTCCGTCAGGAGCCTTCATCCTGCACAGATCATTTGTCTTCAGCTGGTGGATCTGAGCTGGTTGTGCTAGTACCCATGAGCACATGCGCACATACTTGTGCATACTCACATGTGTGTGGACATGTCCACACATGTGAAACACATGCCCACATATACACACACATCCACTGGCATCTAGGGGACAGAAAGATGGGGGCGATGCTAGCTACCCAATGTACAAGCCAATTCCTCAAAGTGGGACACTTTCCAAGCCCCAGTGTCCATCATGTGAGATGGACCAGCCAAGCAGGGCCAGGCTGGACATCCCCTGGGGGCATCTCCCTGAGCAGAGGGCGCTGCCCAGGCCTCCATGAAGTCTGGCTCTTGTGACTTCCAGATTGACAAGGTTCTCAAACAGTGACAAATGGGCAGGCATGGCTGCACCATTGTCAGCTTGATGGAAATGGACAAAACTCTTGTGACAGTTTCAGATGACCCGTGTGCTTTTTATCACTGCGGATACACCAGCATGGCTCCTTAGCGAATGTGTCGGTGGCTAAATGGTCACGTGGGAGGTGGCGGGCTCCCATCTGTGTGTCGCCACGGGCCCAGACATAGCTGTAGGCCCCAACATGATGAAGGCTGGCAGAGGGGATGAATGCATTTCCAGCATGAACGTGGGACTCCCCACCCCACACTAGCACTACAGAAGGAAGGTTCTAGAGTATCAGCTCCAAAGATGTTTGTTGCCCATGGTTGTTTCTAATGCTTGGGATGCAGTGGCTCACACCAATAATCTCAGCTCCTGGAGAGGGTAGGATTGGAAGGATTGAGGTTCCAGGCCCATGGAAGCAGAAAAGTCCGTGAGAGTCCTCCCGGATGGAAGAAGGTGGGGGTGGGGTACTCGCCTGCCGTGTGGACTATGAGAAGAAGCATGAACTAGGTGGGTGGCAGACCGAGTAGGTACCTGGGCCAATAAGAAAGACTATCTCAAAGTAACCTGTGCAGAGAGACGCTGGAAGCATGGCTTGGCAGTAGAATGCTTGCCTCAAAAGCACAAAACTCTGAGCTCCTACCACAATACCACACACAAAAATTAAAAGTGCCAGTTACTGAACTAGACTGGCTTGATCAGACCCGAATGAGTGCGCACTCAGGGCTCAGGAGGGTTCCTGGGCCTGCATCCAAGAATGGGTGATGCCATCCTCATTCCAAACTCCTTGGCACTGCGTCCCTGTCCTTTTAGTACCAGGACTCTGGCTCAAGATACCATAAAACTAACAGAGTATTGGTAAGACCGTCAGCTTCATATGTGATGACAACGTCAAATCCATCCTCGATTCCTGTATCCCCAGCCAGGATGCCTCTACCAAGGCCGGCCACTGTGAGACCCCAGAGGGACCCCCGACACCCCTTTATCTTCTGAGCCCCACATAGATCCAGCACATTTTAGATCCTGGCTTGATTTGGGGGACATCTTTACTGTCTTTTGAAGCTTAGCTCAGCGAGGGGCGGTGGCGATGTGTGTGCTGACCCTGCTCTCTCCCTTCCATTTTGTAGGGGGCCATGCTCTGGACACCCCACATCTCCCACTGAAGTTGCCTCCAGGACTCTCCAAAAATATCAGTAAGGATGTGCTGAGCTTTCCTCAGAAGCGGGGTGGAAAGCTGTCTGGCGTGCTGGCAGAGGAAAGGACCCCTTCTTGGTAGAGAATGTCATCTCTATGGTGGTGACAGGAGCGGTGATTCCAGGGAGACACAATCTCTATGCAGACGCCTCCTGTGGCTGAGCCACCAGTGATTTCTTTTTGAGACAGAGGTCAGCTGAAAGGAAAACCAGGAAGGGAGCAAATGGGTTGTTTGCACCTGAGCTTCCCAGTAGGTCAAAAAGAAGGGGTGGGTGATGCACTTCAGGCCTTGCTTATAGGAAAGGAGGTTTGATACTTGCACCTTGCTGGATTATAAAGATCTTTCAGGTTCTTGTATGGACATCACTGATATCACTGACATGAGGCCTAGGAGACCAGCCGTTGATGGAGGTAATCCTGAGCAGAGTTCACACCCATCATTTCAGAGAGGAGAGGAGAGGCAATCAAAAATTATTTGGCCATGAGCCAATACATGAGGGGTCCACTCAGACCCAAATGGCAAATGACCTCTCTCCAGAGGGTGTAACGCTCAAGACAAGTACAAATTCCACCTAAGTCTTTTTCAAGTAAGGTTTTGAGATTCATGGATGACTCCAGGACTTATCAGGACAAAGAGTGGGAGATACAGCTTGCCAACTGGCTGGGTCAGCCAGGTCTTTTCATCAAGAAAAGCCCTCATCCAATCTACAGAGCAGGTAACTGTCCAGGAGATCTGGGGAGATCCCAGGGCAATGGAACTCACACAGAAGAGCCACACACCAGTTGTCTCAGAAGCCTCATTCTCTACCTGAGCCAGTACCTCTAATAGCAACCCATAGGTACAATATGTAGGATATCTAGAAAGGAATGGCAGGAATCCAAGATAATGACTTCTCTCTATGCATTTATAGTGAATAATTCCTCCAAGCCTAGACTTTGCCATCTAGACGTCATTTTACCCCTGAGCAGCACTGCATTTCATCTTTATCAGGGTTGCATGTCTGTGGAAAGTTAGCCTAACGTCAGATTTATCTCTAGATAAGAGAAAAGATTTTTCCTCCTTCACAACGGGAGGGATGAGAGAAATCAAGACTCTTGGTGTGTTCTCTTTTCCTTTTCCCTTCCTTCCCTGTAGATATTACCATCTTCAATGGGGTGTTTAAAAATGTGGAAACTGTGGCTGAAATTTTTGGTAAGTTCAATGTGAAATTACTTTTATTCCTCAATTATCAAAGATGGAATGTATGTGGAAAATCTGTGAACTTTGCTTCTGAGCACCCTGGGCCCCCAAAGCTGGCTACCAACAGTTTGATTGGATTCCATGCTGCTTGCTTCAGATGAGTCGCTATGGGCTTTCATATTCTTTGTTTTTCTGGCTTTCGTTAATCTCACTGTTCTGACTACAAACTCAACAAGAAGGGAATGCTATCCCCATTTGATAGGTGAGAAAACTGAGTGTGAGGGAGTTAGGTGATTTGCCCAAGGCCACACAGCTAGCACAGTCTAGAACTTACTCGGCCATAGCCCAGTAATTTTATTTCTCTTGCCCCAACTAGTAAATATACACAAAGCTGAAGAACTTCAAAAGTGGTCAAACATTCCACTCATCAGTTCCATATCTTGCATGCAACTACTGGGAACCCATGATGGCTCTCCTCATGGAATGTAGCAGTAGCCCAAAATAAGGTTACACCATGATTAGCCTGGACAAGAATCCTGGGAGCTGCCGTTGGGTTGGAGCTGGGCAGGTTATCAGCTTCTAAGCACAGGTGCCTCTAAGGCTTTGAGTGAAGATTTACATCAACATACCCAAGCAGCCTTAGACAGGTATTTTTCCATCAACCATTGAATCATTTCTTGTATTTTCTGGGAAGGCTTTGTGGAAACAAAGCATGGAAGAGGAACACAGGATGGGTCAGGAAGCAACCTAGATCATCAGCAGATCTGGTCCTGCCTCACAAGCTGCTTTTCAATCCATCTGAGTTCCCAGGTGTGACCCAGTGCATTGCCAATCGGTATCAGAAAGCTGAAGGGAGGGGAAAGCCAGCATGAGGTTTAGTCAGAAAGTCAATACTATTTCCTCGACAATTTTGGTGCATACTTTAGATCCCTTACCTTTGATGTCCTTACCCACGACACGGGGACAACAAAAGAGAGTATCTACCTGGTGGGCTTTGTAGAAAATAATTACCCGATGCGTTGTGCCTTCTATGGATCACATCAATGGTGGTTTTAAAACTACTCTGGGCAGCTTCAATACTGTCTCAAAAATTGTGTCTATTTCCCTCTCCTTCACATACTGACTGATAACTTTATAGTCAGCCCCATCATTCAGGAAACTAACAGGGCTTCGAATCATAGACATTTTGTTTTCGCACGTAACGCATGGTCAGAAGGCTGCAGGATTTGTGCAATAGTTGACCTGGATATCACTGGCACAGCAGGTTTTCTGTATGTCCCTCTGTACCCTGAATACACTGGAGCTTTAACTTCAGGTTTGGGAGCTTCATGATTACAATGTGGTTGCTCTAGTCCTAGCCAGCACATTCTTATCCATATTCAAGGAAGAAGGTTGAGATCTAAATTATCTTCTTATGTGTTTTTATCTTGCATTACAAACAAGTAAACAAGTATTTTCTTTACTTTTTCTTTTCTTCCTTTTTTTTGTGGTAGTACTGGTGTTTGAACTCTGAGCCTTGCTGAGCAGGTGCTCTTGCCACTGAGCCATGCCCCCATCCTTTCTGCTGGGGATTTTTGAGCTAGGGTCCCTCTTCCTGCCTGGGTGCACACCGGGGTGTGATCTGCCTACGTGAGGCTTCCCATTGTACTTAGGATAATGGACATGCACTGACAGACCCTGCTCGCTATGTTGAGATGAAGTTTTGAAACCTTTCAGGCTCGGGATCGCTTCAAACCTCAGGCTTCCCGAGCTCGGCTTTCTGAGTAGCTAGATTACAGGCATGCGTTGGGATCGGTACCCAGCTCAGGAGCCTTCAGCAGACTTCTTCTCAGGCCTTTCTTGGCTAGGTTTGGGTCAGTCACTGAAAGTCTGGCTTTGCCATGACCAGCGAGATTGACCATGAAGCATCCCCAGGAATATAGGGGGGAGACACCCCTTCTTCCTACATGTGACCAGCATCTTAGTAAGGAAGTAGAAGCAAAGTGGGTCAGCAATAACCATGGCTTATAAACCCATTCTCTTCAACTGTCTCAAATCCACAGTAGGTTCTTATTGAATGACACACGATCCAGCCAAGAGGTGAGAAGTGCAGGGCATGGGGTTCTGTCCTCCATTGGGCTTTCCCAGGCCCACACTTGCCTGCCCTCTGCCTGCAGACTGCCTGGGCTCCCACTTCACCTGGCTGCAGGCTGTATTCACCAACTTCCCTCTGCTGCTCCAATTTGTGAATGGGCTGTGGTGCGTGGCGGACCTCTGTCCTCGAGACTTGGAGGACTACGGCTGTGCCTGCCGATTTGAGATGGAAGGGCTGCCACTCGATGAGTCGGACAGGTGAGTGAAGCTATGGTGGGCACAAATACTGCAAGCGCCCTGGACCAGAGACTCAGGAGGGCTCTCCCTCTCTCGGCTCCTGGCAGGGGGCTTTGCTTCCTCCTCCCTGCGTTGCAGTGTCAGCTAGGATCCACACTTCTACAGGCAGTTCTGCAGAGCCTGTGTTATGACGGATGTACAAAAGTGCCCTGCATACTTTTCCCACCTGCCTCAGAATCCCTGGGTACTATGTAACTCGGGATGCCTTTTGATGGAGTCCAGAGCCCTCCATGTTCAACAAGCTCCCCAAAGAACACTGGTGCCTAATAAAGCTTTTGAATTATTGTGTATGTGGAGCAGTTCTGGCCACCAGAATAAAGGCAACTATAAAATACCAACGTATGGGAGTCCTGGGCTGAAGAGAGACAGAGATTGCCCCCCTACCTTTGAAGAGGTGAGTTCCGAGTGGGAAATGGAAGGAAGCACAAGGCCAGGAAAGATGCACTCCAGCTCGACACGCAAGCAAGGCACCTGCCCGACATGATGGCAAAGCTGTCAATGAAATTTAAAACCTAAAAGTATGGAGTGTCAGCCAAGGCATGGCCACACACAGATGGGGAGAAGAAGGGTCAGTTGGGATTTTGGCCGGTTCGCAATCCATGTGAGATGCTCTCTGCTAAAACGTTAAGGCATATTACCCGGGACCCAGTAATTCCCATTTTCAACCTCTTGTTGGCTTTGTGATCTTAATTTACTTGTGCTCCACTTTCTGTATCTCCAAAGAAGAGGTGATAGTAATGTCTACCTTCTCGTATTACCTAGCATCAAATGAGAGAATTGCTTTGCCTCTGAAGTACGTGAGCGAGTGTATTAGAGATTGGTAGCCATGGTAACAGCAGAAACAAGGTTGTAGCTACAGTAGTAACACTACATGAGTAGCAGCAGCAGCAACCCAGAGTAGCCACACTAAGTAAAGTACTGGTAATAACAACTGTCACCACAGCCATGGTACTAGCAGTAACAGAAAGTATGTGGAAATAGGAAGTAGAAGTGGATCACAGCCCCACTGCACTGGAATTAGCCCTAGCTCCAAATCCAGTGTGATGGAATGTGTGCTGCTGCTCATGGACAGTCCTCTCAACTGTCTACATCCCTAAGCACCAAAGACAGTTGCATGCTACCCGAATTGAGCCATGAATCTGTGGTTGAGTTCAAAGGAATACTAATTTGAATTGAGCCACAAATCTGTCCTGTCACCCAAATTAGAGGACAGTGTCTAAGTTTCCAATGGACTCAAATGACATCTTCCATGTGAAGGACCGGAAGGAAGCAGACCCCTCGCCTTGAGTAGATGGCTGGAACTGGGATAGGCAGGGACTGGATCTTTCTGGATCTTTCTGCAGGGGATATGAGGCCAGGGCTATTTCTGAGGGCCTGTTTTTCTTTTTCTTTCAGGCCTTCCCTTAACACTTTCTTTAACTGTTTAATGCCAGGTAGGCCTAATCCTTGTCAAAGAAATGTAGCAGAAATTCCTCATTGTATCCTACAATGGTGATCAAAGGATGATCAAAGCACCAGGGACTTCAAAGTGACAGAATGTCAGGCCACACCTATGTCCAGGAACTTTGAACAGTTCAGTTGATGGGAGAGATTTCTGAAATCTTGGAGGATAGCTTATTTCCATCTTGAACCTGCACACTCAGCTGCTCTACTATTTGTTGAGTGCCTATCATGTGGTAAGATTCAGAGAATTGGGCTTCTAGAAATTTCTAAGGAATGCTTAATTGGTAGGCAGTATGAAAAAACGTAGCTTTTTGAGTGTCCACACCTGTCTGTACCATAGTCCTTCTTTACAACATCCTCCACTGTCCTCCTATCTGTACTGCAAAGACCCACCTAACCTTCTAGAACTTTCCTTCAGGATCAGTATCATTGTCACGGATGATCCAAGCTGTTGTGGCTGTGGCGCCGTAGTGGACTGCCTGTTTTTCCTGCTCTAACCCTGATCCTGCCCACCCCTCCCTCCCGCGATTCCCCCTTCCCTCCCCACCCCCGCAGCTGCTGTTTCCAGCACCGCAGGTGCTACGAGGAGGCCGCAGAAATGGACTGTCTCCAGGACCCCGCCAAGCTCAGTGCAGAGGTCGATTGCATCAGCAAGAAGATCACATGTGGTGAGCATCTCCTGGCCTGGCTGCCTCAGGGCAGGGCCCAAGGGTGCCAGAGACTCAATCGTGGGTCAGCAGAAGGTTCTTGGGTCCGCCTACATCACCCCACCGTTGGTGTCTGTCACTGGGAGCCTGTGGATCTGTGCCTTTCATGCAGTAGATACTGCACAGGCTCACATGCAAGTATGTTTTAAAGTAATGGGGTTGATCCAGTGTAGGTTAGATTGCCTGATTTATGATGAATACTGTAGCAAAACTGGGCATTTGTGAAGGGCCAGAAATTTGCGACCTATACACTGTGTTACAATGGGGGCATTTAAAAAAAAACTGATCTGAGCCTCAAAATAGGGAAGAGAAAACCAACTGGAGAGAGATGCTTGGGAAACGAAGCAGTGCTTGTCCAATGGTTACCGCGGAGGTAGAAATAGTGCAAGATGACTGTGGCTTACGTTGACTGTAAAAATCAGATTCGTAAGTCCTAAACCACAGCTTTCTACTTGGAAGTTTACTTGGTGTGTCTGGGCAATCTTGGCAGAAGACGTTGCATAGGAGAAGGTGTGGAAGGAAGAGGGATCACAGCAGGCTGAGAGTAATGGGGCAGAGCGAATCTCCAAGGCATGCCTATTTTACACCATGGTCTTTATACCGAGCACCTCTGAGCTTCCTTCCTAACAACCCTGCCTGGCAGGACCCATTGTTTACAGTTTTCAGACCAGGGAAGGGAAGGTCAAAGAAATTAAATACCTCCCCAGAGTAGCAGAGCCCTTCAGGATTGCGACCTCAGTTAGGGAACCAGCCTTGCTGGAGCAGCGGGGAAAGACAGAGACCTGAGGATGGGAGGTACCCAGTGAGCACAGGAAACAATACCCAATGCTCACTCCACACACGCATGCTGCCTGTCTACACCAACTCCAGTCACCACCACATGGAACCTGCTGACCTCGATGCACTGTCCTCAGCATGGTCAGAGGCTGAAAATACCCAGCAAGTGATATGTCAGATGACGAGGAGAGCTGTGGAGGAAAGCAAGCGAGGGGAGGCGAGGGGAGGGCTGCCTGGGTTTAAAGAGGAAGGGGGGGGTGATTGTGTGGCATTTTCCAGGCTGCCCTGAAACGTTATTGAAGGGCTCTGAATGAATTAAGACATGCTTTGAAGCCAGGTGCCTGTGGCTCATGCCTGTCATCTTAGCTACTCAGGAGGCTGAGGTCCATTGGAGATCCACACACTCCAGGCAGGAGTCAATGGTGGCTTGACCTGGAGTGGTAGAGTGGGGTGCAGAGACATGGCCAGCATCTAATGCAGTTGAACGTCATGTCAGCAGGCGTTTCTGGGTGGGTTGGGTGTGCGATGAGACACAGAGCAGGTGGGTCCCGAGGCTCGTCTACCCAGCAGAAGAGGAAACAGTGACCTGGATGGGAGGGAAAAGGCCCAAGGAGCAGGCCGAGTTCCACCTTGGAGCCTGCGTTAGCCCTTGGGATTCCAGATGAGTGCGGTGACCCCTGCACTGGCCTTCTCTGTGCAGAATCCAGGGACCCTTGTGAGCAGCAGCTGTGTGCCTGTGACAAGGCGGCCATCGAGTGCTTGGCTCGCTCTGGCATCAACTCTTCCCTCAATCTTCTGGACATCTCCTCGTGCCTAGTGCAGACGCCAGGTAGGGAGAGCTTGGCCTGCATCCCCTTGGGGTGGTGATCTGGGCGGGATCTGGCTTAGCGCCCACAGTGGCTGGGTGTCTAAACATGTCAAGAGCCATCCCTTCAAATATCCTCGACTTTGCTGCCCACTTCCCAATGTGTTCTCCCTTCCAGAGGTGACCAGCAGGAGCGGGCTGACCACACTGCTGCCTGCAGGTAAGGCCCCAGGCAGGTGGCTTCCTACGGGGCCCGCGAGGGCCATGCTGAGCAGCCCGTGACCCAGGAGTGAGGGAGACAGGGCATCCTCAGACGGGACAGGCAGGCTTCCCTGGCAACTCCCTTCTTGGCCCCTTCCTCCCTCAGCTCAGCAATTCCCAGCCCTGGTTTTGACGCCATTGGTTGATCTGGCCACCGTTGCTAGTGGGGCCTCTCTTTCTCCAGAGGTTCCTGCAAAGCCCACGGACATGAGCCTGGCGGCCATTTCAGGAGAAGGTAAGCACAAGGTTCCCTATGTCAATTGCAGGTCCAGGAATGGGATCTCGTGGGTTTTAGGATTCTTTCTTCCTGGAAGGGAAAGTGGCCTGGGATGCAAAGGAAATCAGCTTCCTCCAGGAACCTGAAGGAGCTCAGCAGAAGGCAGATGCACATACACGATCACCCTCATAGCTAGAAACACTCACTCCTGGGACTTGGGCAGGACACCAAGGTCCCATTGTTAGCAAGAAGACGCTTGGTTTGTGAGGTCACAAAACAGTCTCCTGAGTGCAGGTTGGGGGAGGGTCTGTGAGAAGACGACACAGGGTTTGTCCTTGTGTGTACCACCATGCAATAACACAGATTTCAGAACCAGGTAGATTTGGAGTTAGGCCTTGGCTTTCCCAAGTCACTCTGTGACTTCTGAAGGGACTTGACCTCTGTAAACTTCAGTTTCATCATCTGTATAAGCCACGGATTGCCCACCTTCTACTGTGGGTCAGGCGGCTCTGCCTGGGGTTATCTGTGAGTACAGCACAAGGTAACAGCAAAGCAGTGGGTGTGGCTGTAGGCCAGGAAAGTATTGTGTAAGGGCCCTTAGTTCACTAACTCCTGAAAAGCCATGATTCCTCCTGCCTCGAGGGTGGCCTAAGGAGTAAATGAGAGCTTCAGATGAATGAGGATTTAACAAAAGCCCAGGAAAGTGTGGGCTGGCATCTTCCAGGAAGTCTGGAGTGGCTGCAATACTTCTACTAATAATAATAATCATAATACTTCCCACAAGTCTCAAGGAACAGTAGACAACTTGTTTAGAATACAGAATCTCATTTAGTGTTCATACAACCCTACACAATAAAGACTACAACTGTATTTGAAGACAGAATTGAGACGCAGAGATGGACAGAGACTCGCAGCTGAGGGGCAGGCTGGGGTTGCCGGACCCCATGCTGCCTCCTTGCTTCTGACCAAACACCCACTGCCGCTGGCAGCCCACAGGATCTGTCCAGCCCAAGAGGGAAATGACAGCTCTTTACTTCCAAAGATGGTGCTTGTTGGTCTTTCTGCCTGATGTAGGTCAGGTGCCTCCCTCATCTTCCCTGCTTGGTGTGGTGGAACTGCTGGAGCACTATGGGTGGTTAGGCTTGGGTCCCTCACAGGTTTGTCATGAAGCTGGTTGGTTTATTTTCACAGTCACTGGTGACACCAGAGCTGACAGACGGACCACGCTCTCCAGGACAAGTAAGCAGCAGGGACTCCAGACCCACTGGAGAAATGCCACTGTCTGTCACTAGTGTCCCCTTGTACATAAGACTCAAGGAAATATTATTATACCCCACTCACAGAACACACAGGGCACTGAGGTTCAGGGAGTGTCAAGTGCTAAGTTACTGGACAAGTCATTCGGTGGCCTGGATGGAGTAGAAGTCCAGAATTCAGGCTGTAAAACTGGTTTTTTTTTGTTTGTTCTTATTTGTTTTTACCCCGTACAATAGTGACTTACGTGCTTCTCTAAAGTTATCTAGTACAAAATTTCACCAGTTCAATTTGATAGTTACAAAGGATGGATAGATAAGTAAGCGGGTTCCTTGCTTAATAGTGGTACTATGGTGCATGATTGTAATCCTAGCAACTCAGGACATTGAGATCTGAGGATCATGGTTCAACACCAGCTGGGGCAAGAAAGTCTGTGAGATTCTTCCCTCTAATTAACCACCAAAAAGTCTGAAGTGAAGTTGTAGCTCAGATGGTAGAGAACTAACTTTGAGAAAAAAAATCTCAGGGACAGTGTCCAGACCCTGAGTTCAAGTCCCAGTATTAGCCCATGTGCGTGTGCGTGTGTGTGTGCATGCGTGCGTGCATGCGCGCGCACACTCACACACACACACACACACACACACACACACACACACGCTACTGTGGAGGGCATCCAATGGGCTCACTTGATCTGAAGCTCTTCATGTACATTCTGAGCATGTCATTGCTGTGTCACCCTGTGGAGGAGAGGCTTTTGTCACTCACCGGGGTGACCTGGCTTAGTGGTCCACGTTCTGAGTTGGTACATGTTGTGTGTGAAGATCATAACATGTTTGCTCTAAGAATGGTCCATTCCCTCCCTCCCTCCCCACACGGTCATCTGTGCTTGTACCAGTGACCTTCCAAGCCAGATCATCACACACTACCATCAGGCCCTGATTTGTGAATATATTAAATAGAAGGCAGTTCCCCCCTTGCCACAGAATTCTTTAATCATCATCTCTAGCTCCTGATTCAACCAGAAGTACAAGTTTGCTCGAGTGCCAGCTTCAGCCGAGAGGTCTAGGTTTAAATCTTGTCACTGCATAGCTCTGTTGTAGAGCTTGAGTTAGGGACTCCATTCCTCCTGTGTCTTCTCATCTTTCAATGAGGGCGAGCAGGTACTGCAAACTCATGGGATTGTTACTGAATTCAAACAGCAGTCTTGTCATGCTATGTGGCAGGAGGTCAGAGCTTGATAACAGCTCACAATTCCCAGAACTGGGGCTCAGTCACCTTCCTGGGTCACCTACAGCACCCCAGTCTACTTACCTCTGTACGGTATGCCACTCTGACCAAAATTATCATTGTTGCTGTGGTTTCTGTTCTCCCTCCAATTTCTGGAGAAGGAACAGTCCTCAAACCAAGTTAACTATAAGGTATATTAAATGAGTAGATTTCACTGGGTAGATGATGAAGAGAATACCACGTAGTATCCAGGCAGGAAAAGAAGTTTATTTACTGAACTGCTGCCCCCACCGTGCCTGGTGGAGAAGCATGGCTGAAAGGAGGTGACCCACCCCTCGGCCAGGCCTTATCTAGGCAGGGACGGGAAGGGGGGGGGGGGATGTCCACACTGGATCCAGATGTGACCTCAGGGCCTGGAACCAGGGGCTGCCCAGGATGTGACCTAGCAGGAGGGGGAGGTGGCTGCTTCCACGGTTACCAGTTACCTAGGTAACAAAGATACCGGGTGGAAACGTAGCCAAGAGATAGGAAGGTGTCTGCACCAGGCCTGAATGGCCTCTATCTCCACAATGACACCAGAGATCTCATGTACAGCAAGCAGAGGGAATAGCCGCAGCATAGCAAAAGTAATCTGGAGGCTATGATGCTAACAGCTGGAGCTGGTACTTAACCTTGTCTCCCTTCTCTTGGGGGCAGAACTAGGCCAAGATCCAGAAGCTGACACGGCTAGGCCCACACTACCGACAGGTAAGGGCCCTCGCCTCCTCCTGCCTTTCTATACATCACGGTCTTCCATACACTTATGAATCAGTGCATTCCAAATGAGCCTATGGGCCAAACCTGGAGTGGAAGAAATCACTGAAGCCTATTCACTTATCACATGACCCCTCCATAGAAAGCATCAAATGGCATCAGGACGTACACAGATACATTAGCTGGAAGAAATAGAAAGTCCTCTAGTAAGAGATGCACCTAGCAAAATAAACTGTATCGTTTCCCATTTCAATAAGTTGCCATCCCATAAGTATAAACACTGTTTTTTCCCCATCCCTTCCCATCTCCCCCCCACAAACACTGTTAACACAGTATTTGAGGATACTTTTTGTGATGTCCTCCCTCCAAGCTTCTCTATGAACATAAATAAAAGGAACTTAAGATCACGTGATAAACCTAGCTTTGCAGTATGAACTGTGTCATGAGTACCATGTGATGCTATTTCCCTGAACTTATTATTTTGGTAAACTGAGTTTGTGGTAGCTGTAGAACAATTTCATATCTGGAAACATAACTGTTTCTAACATTTCATTATAAATGGTACAAATAAGCTTTCTTTAATCTCCTGCATCTCTGACTAATCTTTTAAGATAAAATGTAGAATTACTGGGCAAAAGGAGTAACCAGGACCCTTGCAGACTTTGGGATGGACCGTGCTTCTAACTCTGAACAGCCCGAGAAGCTGGCACATTTGAATGAGAAAATAAGTTAAGGAGGACTTTTGCTTGCCAGTTTGTGTACCACAAGTCTTCACACTCTGTCCATTATTCCCTTCACCGCTTCATTATGATGCTTAGCGCATACCGAGGGTGCAGGCATGAACACTGCAAGATCACAGGCCTCAGCAGCCGCCCTGATTCTCATCGATGAGACATCCAGGTGGTCTAGCCAGGCTCCTGGCAGGGGTAAGGCTGCCATAGAAATGTCATAGCTATCCTTTCAGAGTTCATGAATCTCTGAACACTTACCACAATGTCAGCCAACATCACTTTTCCCAATGCTTCCATGTTCTAAGAGAACTGTCTCCACTTGACCTTGATCACATCTATCTGCCAGTCTCTCCCTGAGCCCTCTCTGAACCTGAACCATCTCGTTTTCATTGTCAGGATCTGCAGAGATTATTGCTACAGCTAAAGATATCACCCTTGTCCCAACTGGCATAAAATCTTCAGGGCTGGTGGTGTCATCCGTTGACAGTGGTCCTGAGGAGACAACTGGGAAAGGTAAGCGGGAGTCAGCAGAGGACTATGTGTCCTCACCACTGTTCAGGTCCTTTAGTTATACATAAGCCAAGCACCGTGGCCACCTTATCTGATGGTGGCCCTCTCGTGGTGCTGTGACTAGAAAACATGCATAGTAACACTTAAGGTCACGTGACCCACCCAGCTCCCTGCAGCTGTTCCAGGAGACAGCCCTCTCTCCATTCTGCTCCTACCAGTAGGAGGGACTTGGCACCTCACCTCACTGTGGTTTCCTGGAAAAATGATGCATTTGGGTTTTAGTCCCTTTTCCCCTGGTCTCTCTCTCTGCTGCAGCTGAGAGAAGCCACAAATAGCTAGACCTGGAGGAAGACTGTGTTAATATCTGGGCAAGCCCTCCATATCAGTCAGTGGGGTGGACAGAGTTGAAGTTGAAAGTTATAGGCTGAGGGGGAGGGGGAGGAGAGACCAAAATGTGGGTTGGGGGGGGCTGGGAAGATGGCTCAGTGGTAGAGCGCTTGCCTTGCATGCCTGAGGCCCTGGGTTCGATTCCTCACCACCACATAAGCAAAAAACAAAAACAAAAACAAAAAAAAAATGTGGGTTCGGGGAGATAGAAGCCACAAAAACCAAGGGGCCTCAGAGGCATGCCCACCCCGGGTGCTGACCTCCTGGGGCCTGCAAGGTAAGCCCCAAATTCTGGGTTTCTCGCGGTGGTACAATGTGGTAGCCTCAATGTGGTAGCATCGTTGCTCCTGCAAGTCCTCATCGTTAGGGCACAGAGACCCTCAGATTGCATGCATCCTAAAGAGAGGGCTAACTATCACCCAGGTCCCACAGGGGGAAAAACATATGGGAAGAGGAGAGACAGAGGACTTGGGGTTGTATCTGTCCAACCTGGGGCACTGCCCTCCTCCCTCGGGCACGCCTCCCTGAGTCCCTGTTTCTCATCAGCCTGTGACAGGCTCAGCTTCCTGCGCACGGGGGGCGAGGACAGCAGGGAGGCCATGCAGCAGCTTGGAGAGATGCTCTTTTGTCTGACATCCCGCTGCCCAGAGGAATTCGAGTCCTATGGCTGTTACTGTGGGCACACAGGAAGAGGAGAGCCCAGGGACACCCTGGACAGGTACCGATGGGAAGAGGGTGACCCAGGTGTGGTGCAGGTGCTGCCTGAATTCAGGAGGTAAGAGCCATCACTTTATGTTTCCCAGAGCTTGCTCAGCACACTCGCTCTTACTCAGGGCAGCTCCCTGGTGTGATGAGCTATTTTCCCATGAGAATCTGAAGCTCAGAGGCCAACTTGTCTGAGGCCAATCAGCTGGGAAAGGGCCAAGCCCGCGTAAGCCAAATCTAGGGACCTTCAACCACAATGACAAGGATTTCCTGGCTGACCCAGGAGGGCTCATCTGCCAGCACTCTTCAGACAACCCCAAATTGACCTCATCTCCAATATGGAGAATTGGGGTCTCCACATGTTTCATCCCAAGAAAGCAATACTGGAATTAGCTTCTCATCAATTTCAAGTGCTAAAACTTCTATCCACCATGCTGATCTCATACATGCATTATTTATTCATGTATACACACAATTCATGCCATGTTCTTGTGGTTTTCCTGTGCGCCAGGCACTATGCTAGGTGATGAGGATACAAAAATTGTAGCTAAACAAAGCAGGAAAAAGCTCCCATGCCCAACAGAAACCTGCATAGAGGAGATGTACAAGGAAGCAAAAAGAACACAGAATATATGTAGTAAAAAGAAACAGAAGATACTCTGGGAAATTCAAGCTGCGTGTCACGAATATTTTGAAAGTAGAGATAGTTAAGGCATAAAGACTACTTTCATTTGGGGGTTGTCTGTGGCCAATGGAAAAATCTGCATTCCAAAGTTAGACATCTTTTTGGGGTGTGTGGTTGATATAGCTAAAGCAACAACTAAATAAATTGGAAATACACCAGAACAAAACTAATCACAGTTCATGCAAAGGACAGGATAATGGTTGGAACATGAAACCTTTCAAGAGCAGGACACACCGTGTCTGGAGGGATGGACTACTTGATTATTCACCCATCTTCCTGCTCAGCTCCAGCACTTCCTACTCAGCCTTGCTGGCCTTGTTACCCAACATGAACAGACTTACTGAGGGGAACCAGAGGAAGCCTTCAAAATGTACCTCTCCCACCAGGTGATCTGAATGGTATTTAGTACAAGCCACATTATGGACTCATACACATGCTCACATTAGATTCCCTAGCATACCTTCCATTCTACAAGATGGAGAACATAAAAATAGTGTCCAGATTCCTGGGTCCCTAACACAAAATGTGCTTAAAAAGAGGGAGGGAGACCTTACCACCAACAGCCTGTGTAGTATCAAACCCTAAGAGAAGAAGGAGGTAAGTGACCACAATTCATCCAAGTATGACAGCTTCCTGACATATGAAGACTGCAAATTTGAATGCCATGTGAAGGCCTGTGGAGCAGTTAGTCAAACTGGGTTTCTCATGATGTCTTTTCAAAACCATGTATTCTGTTCACTGGGAGCAAAATGAATGATGTACAAGAGCCTATGACTTCTGATCCATATCGACTTTAGATTATGACTATTACATTAACTGTCCACTTTGTCAAAAGCACATACCAGACAGATACAGCCCAATGTGCAGGCACTGGGCTGCAGCCCCTGGGTAACGTGGGCATCCGAGGTGGGGTGCTTCCCATGTCTGTAATGCTGACACATGGATGAGCACAAGGTAGGTCGACTTCAAGGCTGTGACTCACTCTTGCTTGGGCTGTGGTCTCTAAGATGTAATGACTGCTACGAAAGGGCCGGGGGCGGATGAAGGAGGAAAGATTTGGGGAGTCATTTCAGTTTCCTGTTGTCTGGAGCCATCACAAGTCTCTGCAGAATGCCTTATGTGAGGGGACAGTGGAGACACCATAAGGCAGTGTGGGCAGGTGGACAGCGTAAAAGGAAGACACAGATCCATCCCTGAGCGCTTTCTGAAGTTCTGCTCAATGATGGACCCTGTTCTAGATGCATTTCCTGATGGCTATTTTGCTTTTAGGCTAAGCACTGGGTGGGAGGGGGTTGTATCCCCTGTAGGCATGGACTTAAACTCTACTATGTGTAAGGTTGTTGGAGTGGGTCACTGCTACCCAAAGTCAACCTTTGTGCAAGAAAAAATGGTGACTGAAGACTTCATCTTTCCATCTGTTGGAAAACAGCTATAATAAATAGTCACCCATACTTGCCATCAACCAAGTTATAATAAACGTAAGAAGAAAATACTTAATGTCAAGGTATGTACAATGTGGCTGACGCTATCCTGCATGTGGCCTCTCAGTGAAGTAACACCTACAACAGCTTCTGCATGAGTCAGGGAAGGACATACTGGCTTCGCTCATCTCACAAGATGTAGACAGCAAGGCAGCCTCCCTTCAGGAGAGACCTCGGCCAGTGGGGAGCTCTGGGCAGTAAAGCGTTTCTTTGGTTTTAGGTGCTGTTTGTCCCATCGCTGCTGCCTAGAGCAGATGAGGCGGCTGGGCTGCCTACGCGAGAGGCATTCTGGGTTGGAGACGGTGTGTGTGGACCACAGACCCAAGTGTAAGTGCTGTCATCCACGGATCTCAAGACCCCCAGGGCAGCCTTCTGGCTATGGCCGCTTCTCCAAGTGTATCTCCATCTGTAACATGGTCTCCTCCTCTCCTCTTCCACTTTGAGATACACATCATTATGCCCATTCCACCAATGAAGAGGCTCAAGTTCAAGAGCTTGAGTCAGTTGCCTTAAGAGATGAAGCTAGTTAAGAGCATCAGGAGTGGTTTCCTAGCCCATGCTTCCTGCATACATGCTATGTGCTGGGCTAAGCTCTCAGTAGCTATCAGCGGTTCACCCTGTGGGGCTGGGAAGGTTGCTCAGTGGTAGAGCGCTTGCCTTGCATGCATGAGGCCCTGGGTTCAATTCCTCAGCACCACATAAGCAGAAAAAGCTGGAAGTGGAGCTGTGGCTCAAAAGGTAGAGCGTTAGCCTTGAGCAGAAGAGGTGAGGGACAGCGCCCAGGCCCAGAGTTCAGGCCCCGGGACGGGCAAAAAACAAAAAAACAAAAAACCCAGTTCACTCCATCAATCCCAGGCGGGCAGTCCTGTTCCTTCCCACATACAGCGGAGTTACCAAGGGCCCCGCATACACAGGCAGAAGGGAGTTCCAGGATCAGGATGTAGAATCATCACTTACCCAGTGGGTTCAAAGCATTATCTTCTAAGCAGTCCTTGCTGTTAATGAGATATTCTAAGGCATCCAACAGGGAGGGAGGGAAGCTTCTGAGGAAGGGAAACTGAGGTCCTTTGTGGCTGTTCGAGGCCTCCAGCAGACAGTCTGCAAACTGCAAACTAGTTGCATCAGAGACAGTCTGCAAACTGCAAACTAGTTGCATCTGTATGTGTACATTTTCTAAACTTTCATGCACATGGCCACGATGCATTTCCCTTGTGCTTTGCAGCTTAAAAGGAAATGTTCAGAATTTCACAAGAATCCTAAGAGGGGGTTGGTCTCATCTTCATTTTTGTCTGAGGAAACCCTGGTCATGATCTTCTTCTTCCTTCCTGCCATTACACTTCCTCCATATGCTGCATGGTCCAATCTGTCATCTGGCCTCGCACGGTCATTTATGGCTGTGTGCTCACCTGTCACTCACCCATTCATTCATCCACTCACTATTTTTCAATCATTTACCTACTCCATTCATTTATGCATCCAATAATCTACTCACTCAAAATAACAACTTATCCAAACAAAAACAAAAACTAACATCAAGAACAGAAAAGTAATCCTAGTAGTGTTTCCTCAGTGTGTCCAAATACTAGAGAAAGCCAATCTACAGGAGGAAGTGCTCATTTGGGGCTCCTCGATTCAGACTTCAGTCCACAGTCACTTGCCTCCTAATGGGAGAGGGGAGGGGGGGGGGGGGAGAGAGGGACACACACACACACACACACACACACACACACACACACACACACACACACACAGAGATGAGAGAGAATGAAAAAGAGAGAGGCGGGGAAGGGATTAAGAACAGGCAAATGCCACCCTCTCTGACGCTGCACCCTGCTCTTATCTGTCAAGGTGTAGGACAGAGCCTCTGTGAGAAGCTGCTTTGTGCCTGTGACCAGACAGCTGCTGAGTGCATGGCCTCGGCCTCCTTTAATCAAAGCCTCAAATCACCAGGCAGACAAGAGTGCCAGGGCCTGCAGGTGGCATGCGAGGATGGGCTGACACTGGGAGGGCACTCAGCCTCGTCTACGGGCTCCAGCTCTGAGGAGAACAGCGAAGAGGCTCCACCGCACACAGGGGGCCTTAGAAGAAGCAGAAGGTTTCTGGGGAAGATGCTTGGTCCCCTGGAATCCAGGCTACTCCCTGGGAGATAGATTCTACGCAGCATGGCAAGCACACTGTAGTTCTGCTCCTGCTTCTGCCTTAGCTCTCTGGCCCCTAGGCCTCTCCGTTCATTGGAGCCTTAGTGGAGGTTCAAAGGGGACAGAGGAAACCACACCTGTGTCCCTAGGCCTTCTGACATGTCAGATCACAGATGTGCTCTGCGAGTGGGCAAGGGACCAACACTTCTGTTATTTCCTGTAGTGCATGACTGGAGCTCAATAAATACTCCAATCCATGTGGTTTGTTTTTATGAATTTAGTTGCAGACACTATTGCACGAGTGAGCTGTAGAGGTGAGATGATGAACATGGTGGAGGAAAAACAGAACATAGGTTTAAGCTAAACTACTGAAGAGAACATTTAATCAATCACCTAAGGGTTAGCAGTAGGCTACCAGGGTGAATGCCAAGGGCTGAGAGAATGGCTCTTCTGGGAAGGACCACAAATAGATTTCCCAACCTCACTGAAGAATAGCTTGGTGCCAGTTACCACCATGAGAAATCACTCAATACTGTGTCCTAGGTCTTACTTTTTTTCTTCTTATGTAAGGATTAATCCTGTGGCCAAGTTTGGGGAATACAATGGCCCACTCTGACAATTTAGTATTCTGGTGATTTTCAAGTCTGAAATCGGATCCATCCAACCACTCATCCATCCCATTCACTCATGCAATAGTCAAAAAGACTTGATTGCAAACCAAGCACAAAGTCTACCAGAACTCCCATTAGTATCTAATAGGGACATACATTCTGTCACATCATGTCTTTGATTCTCAAGTCTCATAAAAAAGTCTTGGTGCCAAGACATCAAGCTGACATTATTCCCCTGCCTTTACAGACCCATGTGAGAAGCATCTTTTCATAAAGCCCAATATTTAGGATGTAACATGGAGATAATAAAGCCCATGGAGCCACAGCTGGCCGTGAACAGAGATCAAAGGGCAAATACTTCCCCTATTTCATGCTGTACGTAGACAGGCCTGAGGTTACTTCCTGAGGCTCTGTGACATGTTTCGTAGGTGGAATCTTTAGGCAGAGATTGTTTCTTGGCATTACTTCCAAAGGCACTATCTACATATAAAGCCTTGCCCTGAGCTCTGCTTTGGGGAATCCCAGGCTATGGCAGTGCTTTGTTTAGTCTGCCTCTGTCTTTAAGTGTTGAGTTAAAGGCTGGATGTTGAAGTCAGAGGCAGAGTTTGATCTCCACCTTGGCTCTGCTTTTCTCATTAATTCACATGCAGTACCAAAGGCCACCGTTTGTCAGATGGAAGAATAGGTAACAGAATCACAGCATGTGAAGTGGGAAAGCAAGCCTGCAGGACACCTTTCCAGAGGGCTACAAAACAGATTCAGAAATGTGCACACAGTGCCCGACAAAGCTCAGACAGACCCAGCTTCCTACGTGCTAGTCTTGTCAACTCAAGGATTGTGATTAATGTTTATTGAATCTGAACTTATGGTGCCATGTAGGCATAATACAGTGAACTTCTATTCAGACCCTCAGATAGGAAGTCATGAAGCTGGATTTGAACCAGAGCCCAAGCTCCCACTTCTATGCTATACTGTTTAATACAGTGGATCTTTGATGTCCAGTGGCATAGGGTACTTCAGAGTAGCTACACTTTAAAGAGATGCTTCCTGTAATTAATAGAGGAGGTTGGATGTTTTTTGTTCTTTATATTCTATTGTAAAGATACTGTACAGAGGGGTTACAGTTACGTGTGTAAGGTAATGAGTCCATTTCCTATCGAGCATTGTTACACCCTCCTTTATTTCCCCTACCATCCCTTCACACCCCCTCCCTGGCCCTGCCCCCACCAAGTTGTAAAGCTCGTTTTCAACATAGTGTCTTGTGAAGAGACTAGTGCAGAGAGGGCAACGCTGCACATGCGCAGGTCTCCCCTTGCTCTCCCTTGCTGTGACTGGCAGTGATTGTTCTAATGGATTCATTTCCCTCCTTCCTGCCAATAGATGTATGGGTAAATCCACTTGGCCACTTGACTTTTACCCAAAGCACTCTGTTTTCAATTAACGCAAAAATGGAATAAGTTTAATTGAACAAAAATACTGGCTATTATAAGCTGTACTTATATACAAGTAACTCAGTTTCATTTTATTGCTTACATATGATTGCACAGTGAATTTTTACATTAAAAAACTTACTTCATTACATTAACACATATATCAGCATGAATCAGACAAATAAGTAATATTCTCAAGGATGAGGAAAAGAAACCTTTTGGGGAGGGGGGAAGTTATCTGCTGGTTAAAAAATAGGAAGGAAGTGTGAATATATTCATGTAAAATACAATTGAACTCTGAGCAGCTACAGACAACAAAAGCCCAGTAAGAACACACATGAATGGTTCAAGGTCATGCAAAAGAATATAAGTGACTATGAAAAGCAGAGAATGAATGAAGAACTATTTAATTCGTTTTATAATCTACCAAAGTATAGCCACACAAGAACTTCAACAAATCCCGTAGTTGCAGTATCTGAACCAGCTACCTTGCAGCGTACACACCTGCTCCCTGCAATGCCTCCTGAGACATGGGAGGTCCGCCAGAGAGAAGAGCTATTTCTTGGGAATCCTTGTCAACAAGGCCAGTTCAGGCTACTAGACCTAGGTTATATAGAAGTCTACAGTGATTTAAAAATAACAACAATTAAACCTCCCCAACAAATACATAGTAACAGTTTACAAAACCCAAGAGAGAACTATGGCCAACAATAATTGAGATGGTTTTCCTTTACATGCAACACATGCATTTTTAATATCACTGAGAAACACAAAAATTTTGTAGAGTAGTTTGGTTTCACATGAGTGCAAATGAATATATATTTTTCTTACACTATTAAATTATATATATATATATTTCTTCCATACAAAACCACACAGTGTTAATTTATAAAATGACATCCAAGTGGATGATGATTGTTTTTGCATGTCCCCCTGCTTATATTTTAAATGCAGTCAAAAATTAATATTCTAACTTACAAATGTAAAGAGAAATAAAAAAAAAAATGTAAGACTTCACTGAGTAAGTGGTGATACGCTTTACCTGTTAGGAGGGGGAGTCACGTGACAGGGCCACGCAGGGCCTGTGCAGGGCCATGCACTACTCCAGGAATGACTGTCTGTCACTTGGAAAGTAAGGGCTGGTTTATCTGCACTTAACCAGCAGCACCAGACCTTTCAGTATCTATGTTGCCCATTTAAATGACTAGACTCTTTCAAGATGTTACACTTCAATTCCAATATTCAAAATTTTTTGTGGATATTTAGCATTATCATGTCCTTATTTATTTTCTATTTTACTAACAGTGCCCAAAACCATAAACACAACTTAAAAAATCTCATTTTTTGCTGCAATTTTTCAAACAAAAACAAAATACAAAATTGAATTTTTCGAACAACTTTAAATGCATTAAAAAAAATTTTAAAAAAAAAGAACCTGAGAAGGTAAAACTAAGGTGATTTTATAAAAACATCCTAAGAGAACTTTCTGAGAACTGCAAAGAAAGCTGTTCATTTTTACCCTGTGAAGAATTCACTGAAGTGTTAAGAATGCAGCTGGCCCTGTGTCTGGGAGCAGCTCACACTGACACACCTTAGCATTTGACTGCTGAGACACAGGAACTGTTAGGAAATAATGCAATTAACCCTAAACAGAGATGTGCCCAAGTTTCTGTTCAAATTTCACAAATTAAGATCCACTCTGGGAAATTTCTGACTATGAAGAGTAAAAGGAATGCACAATATAAAAATGTAAATTATGTGCTCTTAGAAACTGAAATGTACAGACTCCTCACAGGTGAACTAGTAGCTATTTTAAGTCTTTCTTTTCTATTCTAAATATATGTTTCACTCAATTAATAAAGCCAGGGCAAAATACGACTATAGGTTCAAAACACAGCCTGTAAACTATACATCTTATGATGTAAAAAATATTGCACAGTTCGGTACTCCAAAAAGTAAGCTGCTCTAAGCGGTTGAACTTGACAGAAAACACAGTGTTACAAGAACCAGACAATTTTAAAATATGGCGATTTTCAGGGTCATAACCTAGCACTAGTATTCAATAGATGTGTTACCACCACACAGCTGCTGAGGAATACCTATTGCACGTGGTTACAGCAAGTGGCTGCAGGTGTGCCCAGCCCACGTGTCTCGAAAGCATGAGGACAGGAAGCCGCACGGGAACGGTTCGGCAGGCAACCTCTGGAGCGGGAGGAGTATACTTACTTTTGCAGATAACCAGAAACTAAGCAATTCTACTTCTAAGCAGTTGTGCGGTGGTTTAAGAAATAATAGACACATTATACATCTTCTTTTCTTTTTTTAAAAAAAATACATGTTTGTGAAAAGTCGAAAATATACTGTTTAACAGTGGAATTATGTGAGACCAATACATGTTCAGCTTTAGAAGCTAACAGGAACCTCGAGACAAATTTACATGGTGTTAATCTATCTTCAAAGCTACTGTAAATAATATATGGTTCCCAAACTTCTACTACAGTGTGCCAAACGTTTGGTTACAGATAAATTCCACTGTCATTTTCCAGAAGTATGATTACAAGCATTAAGTAAACCCTAAAAATTCAGCTGGGCCTTAAGTTTTAGGCTTTAAAATCCTATGCTGAGGTCTTCACTCAGTACACACAGAGGTCTGGAAACTTCATCTCATAGACTGGGACAGACTGGTACTGGGCATGCCCAGAAGTAATGGTCAGTGTTCCTGATGGACTGGGAGGTGGACTGTAAAAGAAGAACACAGCATTGTCACCAGGTGGAGTTAAAAGCTGTCATTTCACACTATTCAATGTAGTACCTGCAAACAGCCGAGTTAAGACTCCTTAGCTGCAGAGATGAAAACAATGTAGGTGCTGGTCAGCTATATTGATATGTAGAGAACAGACAATAGTGTGCCCAGTTAAAAACAAATATGGGTGTACACCTGTGTGTGTGTTTATGCATAATATATATATAC